CGAAAGACTGACTTCAGTATAGTATTTAAAAGGAAGCTTGCTGTAGGCTCTGCAGGTTATTTTGTAGTTATATGTGTCTTTGTATGTATATACTCTTAATAATTTATTTTTAGAAGGCTAGAAATACACTATCATATATACATGTCTTGTGTGTTTATATGTAGTTTATGCAGTGTATGGATATATAGGTTTTTAGAGAGTGTGTTTTTAGGAGCTTGCAAGTAAGTTCCTTTTGTGTTTGTGTAAAATATTTATCCTTGTATTTATGTACAGTATAAACTTAAGTATTAGTATTTAGGTTCCTCACTAGACAGTATCCTGGCTGAATAAAGTGCACATGAAATGGGTGGGTTGCCGACAGCACCATGGACTGTAGGAACCTAACAGGGAGCTGAGTCTCCTGGAGAGAAGCAGGAACTTATATAAAGCAGCACAATCCAGCAGAGTTCTGCAGAGCTACTAAATACCCCTGGAGCATACTGGCTTTTCTTTTTTACTTTGAATGCTGTTGGTTTCACATGGGCCCTTGGCAATGCTGTAGTGAGGCTTTGAGAGCAGCTACAAGTCTCTGCAGCCTTCCCTGCGTGACAGACTACTGGTTACAAATTCAACGTGCAGCTGCTTTTTGCAAGTTAAATAAGGCAAGGCCTACTCAGTTTTGGTAAAGTACATTTTTTTCCACCCAAATGTGCAAAAATCTCAAGTCTGTTGGTGACACTGGAACGTATTTTTTTTGGAGATGACACATCAAACTCCAAGAAATGCAATACCCTGTAGTTTCTAGAACCCGATGAAATATAGCACTTTCTAGTGATGATCTTTCTAGAAGTTGGTTTTTACAATTATGATACCTTGTCATAGTCAATATGTAATTTATAGATATTTTCTGTCTCTGTGTTGAAGTACTTTGGCATTTTATGTACTGTTAGTTTCTGTGCTCTAGGTTTGATCCACAAGCTTCTGAGATCTGTCTCTCATAGTCAAATCTAGAAATGTTTTTAGATACGCAAAGAAAGAGGCCTTGCTATTTGGTTCTTAGCATGTTACAATATGTTACCTTTTTTTTGTAAAAGTAAACAAGATGCTAAGAGTTCTTCCCCAAATAATGAGGCATGTGTGTTGCAGTGGTGACTGTGTGTTGTTTTGCATGATGGCTAGAACAGTCTGGTGCTGAAAGAAGGTGGAAAAAAATAGATAGGAATACATTTAAAAAGGATTTCAGCCTTTGGTAATCAGTACTCAGGATTTGTTAAATTCTTGGAAATAGAAATGTCTCATACTGCAGTGTCATCTGTTCCCTAAGAGCCTTGGGGACCTGGCATATTGTGAAAGCAGAGTAGTCATTTTGGGGTTGAAGAACAGCAGAAAGACCTGTCCAAGCCATTGAGATGGGAGAGGCTGTCACCTCATGGAAGAGGGTGTGGAAGGGGCTTTCAACCAGCTGTAGCTTTACCTGGAAGGAAGTCAGAAGGCACAGAAATGGGGCAGATGAGCTATGTAATTATTCGGTTACAAAAGTAACTCGTGTCCTGTGTTTCAGCTTTTGTCTCTGATCTTGTCTTCCCAAAGAGCACAGTTGCAGTGTGATAAAAGCAGGAGTGGCTGTTGGAGCAGCACAGCTGACTCTGCTTGTTCTCTGTCAGGTTTTGCCCATTGCATTTCCTTGTGAGTGATCCTGAGAGTGTTGTTTGACTGCCACATACTTGGGCTGATCTGGAATTTTTGCCTGGATTGTTATCTCACTCAAAGTGACACGAGTTGATGTCTTTGTAATAAAATTGTACTGGAACTTGGTAAAAGTTATTTCCATCAAGTTTGTTACAGAAAATGAATGAAAAAAAACGCATATACTCCCTGTTTCTCTCATCCATCCACCACTGGGAATACTTCTGTTAAATTATCAGTAAATTACCCCTATGCAGTTATTTTTTCTAAAGATTATTTAATTTTCTGGAATTGTTGATATTTATGCTGGATTTAAGTTTTGTGTGTTATATTCAGATTCAGACCAAGTTTTGTTTTTATATATTGCCAAGCTTGTCAGAATTCCTTGTGTGCATTTAATGTACGTAATGACTGAAAATATAATTTATGTAAATAATTCCAAAATACAGAAACTTTCACTACTGTTTTAATATCTAAGTGGCATTATTAACATTCACCAATCTAATTGTTTCTAACTTCAGATTTTCTGGTATTATTTTCTGCCTTTTCAGCGTTTTTGCCAGTTGCAAAAAGCAGGAACATAATTAAATTATCAGATTAATGTGATGCAATACACACTTGCAGAGCATTATATTTGCTGCAGTGGATTTCCTTGCTAACTAGTCCATAATTGTAGGAGAGGCTCAGTCACCAAAAAGAAATTCTAAAGGATTTGTCATTTGCACCTGTTTGTTCCATATCTCATATGATCGGTAAATAACCTCCTGTGGAAATGGAAAATGCCAGCATTAAGCCATAGCTAGGAAATATTTTTCCTTTTATTGAACACATTCCCAAGCTTTCCAGTACTTTTCTGTCTCCTCCTAGTGCCAAGCCATAACCTAGACGGTCCCCAAAATGTGGTGTGATGGGTCCAGGCTGGTGCTCTTAGAGTCCAAATGATGGTCTTGACTGGCTGAGTTAATAAAATATGCATGATTATGAAGTGAAAAGCTGCTTCCCCAATGAAACACTCTGATTTTAAAACATAAATGTCTGAGCTGCTTCAGCTGTCTTTTAGCCCCTGATTAATGCAGTCCTTAAAGCAGTTGCAGCTCTGTACCCACAAAGTATCCAGTCTGGGAGAGGAGGGGTGTCCTCAGAAGTTCCAAGCTTCTTCAGGTTTTGTTTGTCTTACAACTGCACAGAGGATGTTGCAGCACAGCCATCCAGAGCAACCTTGGAGGGGCAGGGGAAAATATGTGTGATACAACACAGAATAGAGGACATGGCTCATTGGAGACAACCAGGATATCATGAAGGTCCTCGAGGACCTTGAGGCTTGAAGTAGTAACAGGTGCTGCAACTGAGGTTGAAGAAATTTCTCTATCACTGAAACTGGGAGATTTTTGAACAACTTTTTTTAGGCTCTGGTTGGACCAAAAATAACCTAAGGGCATTTTAGGTGGGCATTCAGGTTCTAAGAGGGACTTTTTCTTGTGCAGGCTGCCTCAGACATGACCTTTGGCTTGGTCCATGCCAACTGTAGTGTCACTGGAGAAGCAATAAACTGTTTTAGGTTTTTATTAACCCTCTGTAACAGCTCAAGGTAACGTGTCCTGATGAGTGCAGTCTTTTTGATTGGGGACTGATAGATGTAATCTGCAAAGGACTTAACTGTACCATTAAAATCAAGGAGTTCTCTGTGTGTGTAATCATTTCATAAGATCAGAGCCTACAGCTGGTCTTTGAATTATGTTGTAGCTGCATTCTTTAAGGATGTGTAATTTGTAATTTTTTTTGCAGTTCTTACTCTAACTAGTAAATGCAAATTCTGCTCAAAGGATTCTGGCCTTTATCTGACTTAGAACTGAGGTTCCCGGTCCAGAAACACATGTTGAAATAGCATAAATAGTTTTGTGAAGTATTCAGTAAGAAGTGCTTTTCTTTCATTTTTATGGAGTTTGGTATTTGTTTAAAATTTTTTTCTTTGTAGATTTTAATTTCAAACATTACTGCTGCAGATCTTGAGTTCCAGCAGTTGTAATCCTCTGAGTGCAAGACCGTGTTTTGCTGCAATAGTGTTTTTAAAAGTATGTATGTTGATGTTGATTATTGTTGCTGACCTTGCAGTACACTAGGAAATGCTCATATGAGCAGAAATAATTCAGATGACAGAATCTGTACATGTACCAGACCGAAAAGTCTATGGAATAAGAAATTTAGAGCCTCTGCAGAACTTTCACGTGAAGTGTGTCATAGGAATCTCTTGAAGTCATTACAGCTGGCTTAGCTGCTGAAATGATCTGTGCATGTTTCGTGTGTCATGGAACAATTAGGATATTAGCTCATGCATTGAAGGGAGAAGCACAGAGAGGTGTTTTGAAGAAGAGAAATCCTGCAGTTTGCATATAAAGAGGAAAAAATTCTCTGCTTTCTGAAATATAAACTTGTATCAGATGTGCAAGTGGGATGCAGTGAAAACAGTTGAAACTGCTGGGCATGTGTGGCTCCCATCCCCTTTCTGTTGAGCACTCTTGAGTAGGTTGGATGCCCTCTAACCTAACTTAACGTGACAGGGTCTGAATATCCTTTATTTTTGCTTTTTTGGTGGTCTCTCTGCAACATTTTTGCTTAGTTGCAATTTCTTTCTCAGAGGTTTTGGAATTTTTTCTGGATAATGTCAGCTTTGGTATGTCAGTTATTACCAATTCATATGACATCCGCTTTTCCTTCAGTGAGAGCTTGGTTGCAGTATCAGTAAACTGAGGGGCAAACACTTTTGTTCTTGTGTATGAACTGACAGATTTCAGTCTCTGTTGAGGAAGGGGTTTGTAATGATCACTGAATGTTTTCTATTCAGGTATCAAGTGGTTTAATAGCTCAGTGAATGCCTGTAGCCCCTCTGTGTGTGTGTGGTAAAGAGATACTGCTCCATAACTCCATTCAGAGCTGAATGTCAGCTGCCTGAGCATAAAATACTCACTGTTTGCAGGGAGTGTTCACTCCTGTGTTGTGCTTGATCTGAGTGTGCAGATGCAGTTCAGGCCTTGTATGTAAGGCCTGGTATTGCAGAGCATATCCTGTGGAATAAGAAGAGTTTTCCCTCTTAAAAAGAGCAGAATACAGGTCACTTAGTTCTCCCAAAGCTAATCCCATCGTGCTAGAAAGGAGACATCAGATGAAAAAGACTTACCAAGAGTCTGAAACATATTTGGAGAAATAACCTTTAACAAACAGAACAAAACTGGATTTAATGCTTTTACAGTCTTTTTATACCTGAAACTATGTATATGTGATTAAACTATGAGAGAAAAAAAATGAAATAAGTATGTTTTTTTCCGTTTTACTTATAGGTACTAAATGAAGCAGTGGGTGCACTGATGTATCACACTATCACTTTAACTCGAGAAGACCTGGAGAAATTTAAAGCACTTCGAATAATTGTCCGAATTGGCAGTGGTTTTGATAATATTGACATCAAATCTGCTGGAGATTTAGGTATGACTGTTACAGACTTTATTTCTCATCTTACACTTGCCTCCAGAAACCTGATAACATCTAAATCTTTGCATTAATGTTTTCTGTGTGTTTTATACCAGCATCATATGTAAGCTGTATAATTTTCTCATCAGACTGTTTAAAACTCATTATGGAAATACTAGCATTAGTTAATTAAGTGATAATATTAACAGCTTTGTGACAGGATGACAATCTCCCTGCTCTGTATAAACCCAAGGAGTGTAAGGCCATAATTTTTCATCTCTTTCTTTTTCACCCCAGTTGTATATTTTAACTACTACTGCTGTAATCCAATTACAAAATATAATTCCATCACCGTGGCGTACTACTTCTGGTTGAATAAAAAATGAGATCGTTATCAACTGTCTGAAACTTATTTATGATGCATGAGATTTAGTACTAAAGCACTCCATAAAATAGAAATACCGATTTTAGAGGAGAATCAGTTGTTGCTTCTTAAGAATAAATTCAGCTACTACAACTGTGAAAAGAGATGGTGCTTAATGTTTCACTGTAACAAAAGCAACAGTCTGATTTGTACTTTTCTTACTTTAGGTTAAACTATCTCTTACCTGTAGTCTACAGGTAAACCTACCACTTGGAGTAAAGATTTTCTTCAGGTTTTTGCCAAGATTGAGGTGACCAAGTATGTTCCCCATTATACTCTGGGAAGATCTTAGAAACATTTGTAGCAGTACACAGTCCTAGCAATAACCCCACTGGTGTAGTGAGGAGCTGTAGTGTGGCCTGTTTATCAGCTAATGATAGTAAAATACTCACCTGATGGCAGTGTAGTTTGCACAGCAGAGAGAACCCAACCACTCCTTGTTGGGTTTATAAAGAACAGGTCAGGTCTGAGAGCGTGCAAGGCTGTGTTCTGCCTGTTGTAAGTAGTGCCCCAGTCAGGCACGTGCTGTGAGACCCAGAAAACATCTATCTCTTTAGAGATTGGCCTTGGGTAAAATCCCAGATCAAAAGTCAAAACCTCAGTACAGATCAAAGGCTCTGGCAAGTCAGGAGTGGAGAAAGTGGAGAACCTCAGGAGTGTGATTTGTGGAGAAAATTCCTGATAAGAGGAAGATCTTTACAGGTTTGTTGTCTGTTTCTTCTGCAAGTCTCTCTGCTGCATTGTAACCCAATCTTATAACTTAAATGCAGCCACATAGTTCTTCAAGCCCCAGAGTACAGCAGATTTGGGAAGTTCTCATTCATATGCAATGCTAAATGGCCACATTTCCTATCATTCAGATCCTGTGTTGTGATTAGACTGATTTATACAGTTAGTATCCAACCTGTTTGTGCATCCCAGTATTTACAAAATAGGTGCATGTGTATTCATGTCCACTCTGTCAATAGCCAGTAAATGCTGGAAGGGTTACAGAGTGAAATTAAAATCTCTGATTTTAATAGTTTAGGTGAAATGGCTGCAATGAAATACTAAGCACTACTGGGACAAATTTCCATTTGTTGAACCAGTGCACATAATACACATCTCAAGGAGGTAATGGGAGAGTGAACTGCTGTTTATAAAAAGCTTTGGTTCACTTTTGAAATGTAGCATAGAGTTAGACCAGAGATCTGACATAGTCCTGAACTTACACAGTAACTTCTTGAGTTATTTTTCGCACAGCTGGCACGTGGGCTTGTTACCAGCTTTTCCTATTAAGCATTATTTTTATATTAGCAGTTTTATCTTAAAAAGCATGAAAACGTGTTTCTTGGAGAAAATCTGCTTTTTCTTCACTTTATTAATTGTTGACTAGAAAATCTGTAGAAGTTGTGTGTGTAGCTGAATTCAGGTGAAGGGGGAGTAAAGGTAATACCTGTTGACTCCTGCATTTTTCAGTATCAAATCTGTGTGCAAATCACTGAAAACAGGGAGAAAAGGAGAAAGGGAAGGGAGCATAGATAGATGGATATGAGATGAGAGTGTGCTATGTGAAATGTCTCTTCATCTCCTTGACTCTCTCTTGCTGCTTTTTGTGGTTCACTATGTCTCTGCCTTTCAAAAAAACCCTGGTTTTAAAGTAGGAGAAAAATTTGGAAAAAGAAGTTCCTGCAGTTCAGGAGAGAAATTACCTGACTTTTGTTCCCTCAGTTTCCTGAGGAAACCTGTTAGGGAGAAAGGTATGTTATTTCTCTTCCCAAATACATAATATAACTCCTTAAACTCCTTTTAAAGCATTATTTGGTTGATGCCAGCTGTTAGGAGACACACTTATTAAATTTACTTTGCCATCTAAAACCTGTATTTTTGCTTCTAAGAAAAAGGCTTTTTGTATAAACAAATGCAGCTGTTTATTATGAAGTACTTAGAGGGATGTTATTTTTCAGTCTTTTACCTTTCCCCCAGCTTTTTTCCCCATTTTTAAAAAGTGTGAGTTTCCTGCTACCACTGATGATTGCAGGATGCCAGGATTAATATTCCAGCATGTGATGCTGGTATATCTTTTTGTAAGTTTAAGGGCAGTGACTCAGCAGACGTGATCATCTCCACAGAAGAGGAAAGAAAATAGTTCTGCAGGTTCCTTGTGTTGGTTTTATCGATGTAGAGAAAGCTGTAAAATAAGTTATGGGCAGCAGAGTAAAGGCATTTGAATGTAAAATGTAGATAAATATGGTATGAGCTTATTATGTTATATTATTGTTATTGCTATTATTGAAGAGAATGTTTCTTCTTCCTTGCTTCATAAGATACGCTGGCATTAGCTGAGCACTTACTGAATATTTAGTTATGTTAAAAACCCAAACAGTGAAAACAGGGTGTTTTTAGGATACAAAACACTTTTTTTTTTCTCACCGTGAAATTATACTGTGTGCTATTTGTTGTCTCAGTCAGCAGAACTGAGAGACAAACATTTGTGGGAGCTGATGATTAGAGAGAGAACATGCAGTACATAGACCGAAGAGAGACAAGTCAAAAAGGACACAAATTTTTCCAAGCAAACATTTTGCTTAACTGCTGTGTATTGAGTACTAGAAGGTAAAAAGCAGAATGGGGTAACTTGGATGCAATTACAATCACTTGTTGCCTCATCTGGTTTTTTTGAAGTAAAAAAGGCTTATTGTGAGTCTTGAATCAATCCACCTTCCAGTTTTCTGTGGAAATCTGTAATACTCTTTCAGCTGCTTGATTTTAAGCCTGTTTCAACCAGTAACTTTACAGTTGTTAGCAACATGGACTTAATTTGGCATTACCTTTGCATGCCATGCAGAAGTAGATTTTGCATTTCCCTGTTGACAGTTAGGTGGGTTCTCTTTTTAATCTGAGAGACCAGGAAAGGACTGGGATTCTGTTTGGGGTAATTCTACCAACCCATGTGCAACACATAACAGATTGTCCCTCCCTGTGTCATGATTACCCATACATGATTTGGAATTACTCATAGTCATCCTGTGAGGGCTTTCTAAGAGTTGTTGTCATTATAAATTATTTTATCCTTTTTGTAACTTGCATAGATGGCTTTTGGGAGCCTGTCTGCTCAGTAGGAAAAAGCCAAGTCACAATTAAACCTAAACAGCGATCATTAACCACACTATTGAAAGCAGGGCAGATTTCTCTTTGCTATTCAGAACACCAAGCTCAGTGGAAATGTAAAATGCTTACCAAGACTTAGCTTCTAAACTATCTTGAGTCTTCAGTGCTCTCCTTTTGTGACTTCACTGGTCTGTTTACTATATGCCTTAGTTTGCAATAAATAAAAACACAGTAGTAGTTAAAAAATCAAAAAAATGAGTTAGCACATATTTATCAACTTTTACATCAGGTATTCTGTCTGCTTTTATGATCAGAAACTTAGTATTTGTGCAAGACATGTTGAAATATCTGTAGTTTTAAATGTGATACTGCTCAACTGCTGTGAAATGGGAGAAAAGTAAGAATGTTTGGCAACTGGTGTGCTCTCCCCCCCTGTTTGCAGGGATTGCAGTGTGTAACGTGCCAGCCGCCTCCGTAGAAGAAACGGCAGATTCTACCATGTGCCACATTCTGAACCTGTACAGGAGAACCACCTGGCTCCACCAGGCTCTGCGGGAAGGCACGAGAGTACAGAGCGTTGAACAGATTCGGGAAGTGGCCTCTGGAGCTGCCAGGATCAGAGGGGAGACCCTGGGCATTATTGGATTAGGTATGTTGTCTTGGCAGGTGGTTTAATACTCTTCACTTACAAAGATTTGAGCTATAAAAATGGGATCCTTTCATCCACTCTATGTCACACATTGTGTATAATCCCTCTTGTTTCCTGGTGTTTATATATTTCAGATGTTTTCCCTTTAGACATAATCATTTTCCTCAGAAAACTGATTTTGTTGTTGATGTTCTCTCAGTTCTTTTGAGTTTCTATACATCTTTCTGTTGCCATATTGCCTGGTGTCAGGCACACTGGTTGTAACAGGAGACATCATCACTTCTCTTTTCCAGGGCAAGGATCCTGCTACTTCAACCCAGTGTCCCATGTATATGTTTTATTCCTTATCCATTGTCATATCTGGCTCTGTTTGGCCTTCTATCCTTTTACTGTTTTTTACATAACTGAAAAGTCTTCTCTGCAGTAACAGTCTGCAGAGCAGTTTAGTTTGTGCATTTGGTTGAGCTGCATCTGAAATTGTATTTCAGCTCTAATGAGAGGAAAAATATATGCAAGAAAGTTTGAAATGTTTCCAGGCCTAATAAAATCACCTACTTACCTCTCTGAGTGGCCCTAAATGTGTTTCAGCATCCAACAGATGGACAGGCTTGCTTGAGATGAATTAATTACTGTCTGTTACAGAAGTAGAGAAGAAAAACAAGGAAGTCGGTTTCCATATAAAAATTATTCAGTCATGTGCTAGTCTTAACACAGATCTGATACACTGTGGATGCAATTGCTGTGCTATTCATCCACAGGAATTAATAATATGATTTTGCCAACAAAGCATCGTTCTTAAGTGACTGTTCCAGTTACACACTGCTGTCAAGTAACTCAAGCCACGAACTCTTACTTTCAGAAGCTGAAAATAGCCTGGCATTACATAGTGCTCATTCAATTGAGCGTGCAATACACCAAAACCATCTTCACAATCAAAGAATTGCCTTGAAAATATGACTTTCAAGAAGTTAGTCATGAAGTTGCTTTCTCAAATCTATTCTCATGTAATTATGCATCTCATTTAAACACACGATGATTATTGCACTCACAGTCACAGCATCTGTACATAAGTAATAGACAGTTGCCTGCAGTGTTTCCAAAATGGAAATGCATACCTAGCTTTTGGAACTTAAGCTTTTGGCTCACATGCTGTGTATCTCACATGCATATATGCTGGAAATATCTGTCCTATTGTAATTGGATTTTTTTTTTTCCCACTGAACAAATTTAGACTTGAGATTAGAAAAAGTCTTTCATCATTGACTTCTTTAAGTGAATGTAATGTGTTGTTTTTGTTGTGAATGACTGAAAAGTATAGAGAAAGAAATGGATAACCACCTTGCCAATATGTGCATAAAGCTTTATAGAATGCTAGGTGTTGGATTTAGTTTTAAAAAGCAAACCTCTCATGTGCGTGGCATATTAAAAAAACCCAGCAAAATCTGATTTTAAAAGCACACATCTGTTGCAGTTATTAACCAGTCATTGTCTCTAGTCTTTTGTTGTTCCTATATCTTTTCCTACAATAGAATATTCACAATTTCAAGGAAAATTAAACTGTAAAGTCACTTTTGGAACTTCCACTCTTCCTTCTTGTGCATGGGTGCGACTAAGCACAACACTTTGATTCTGAGCTATTCTAACAAACTCCTATGTAGCTCTGTGTTAATGAAGAGTTAAAATGTAGACTGTGCTACTGGTGGCTGTACTCGTTTCTGTGTGAGCATTTCAGACACTTAGGCTGTGAGGTACTCCCTTTTCTAGTACAGATCCCTGCAAGAGGCTACTTGTCTCTAGTTTCAGACTAAAACATGTATTTACAACCAAAAGACTTCAAAAGACTCTTGTCCTTAGGTTGTGTTGCTTTACTAGTGGCCTCTTCCCGCGTCTGGAGTTTCGCCTCAATTTATTATTTTATTATTTTAACATGTCAGTGTCAGAAGTGATGATCCACTCAGATGCTGTGAAATGAATGTATTGCACACAAAATAAACATCTGTTCTCATCATCTGTTACCAAGTCCTTTTCTGTAGTTCTGTGTAGTGTCGAATTTTCTGTCCTTTCTTGTTAACGTGTGTCTGAGATCATCTCCTCTCAACCACAGCTGTGTTTCTCTATTCTTGTCCTAAACTTGTGGTCTCTTCAGCAGTGGGTTGTTTAAATTTATCACTTTGCTGCTGCAACAGCTAGCTCCAGGCCTTCTTTGCATCTGTTCCTGGGCTTTTCTCTTGTTCTGCCAAAGAGAAACACCCTAGCTCTTGCCTATCTCTGTGCTAGGGAATGACTATGTCATTCCCTCCAAAGTTTCAGCTTCTCACTTATCCACTGGTCTAGCCAAGTTTCGTGACTCACTTGCCTTCTTTCTATCACCCACTCTCTTTTCTTTGCCTTCTCTCATGCATATTCCTGCTTTGACACTTGGGCTATCCTCCTTAATCCTATTACTCTGTGCTCTTCCTTTAAAGTTAACCCCATCTCTCATCCTCTTCTTGTATTGAGCTTGGAGATAAGCAGAGACTCAACAACCTAATGCCTCCTTCACGTGCCTGTTGGATCCCATCCCTCATTGTTGTGGTGTTTGGTTAGACCCTGAGCTCCTTAGGGCACAGCCTCTGTTTCTTTCTGGTTTTGTGAAGTGTGGGATTCTTTGAGCATTACATATGTAATAATATCACATCATTAAACAGCTGTCTTTGTCACTTTTAATCTTTATTACTATCCAGTGTCCTATATTTGAAGTGATGCGTCACAAGTGTTGTCAGTAAGCCCTGCATTTAAAAGAAAAAAAGCTGCCTTTCCACCTTATATTTAGACATATAGGATTTTTTTTGAAGAAAGAATATTTATGATCAGCAGCATGTAAGTAATTGAATGGATAGGTGGACCTGGTTCTGCTCTAATAATAATTTTATAGCAGTGAAGTCACACTCCCTTCCCCTTTCCTTCCCAGTGACAAATGCTGATGACTAATAGCTAATACATTTCCTCACTCGAGAAAGGTGAAATTCTTCCAAATAATTTTGTCTTCACATCATAGTGAATCTCACCACTCAGTTTGTCTTTCCTCACGTGCTGTATTTTCTCAACAGTCCCACAGTCTTACCTAGATGTTGGCCTAATTACTAACCTGCATTATAAGACAGTAAGGCTTAACAGTTGGATGGTATTACGGTCCACACTGCAGAGTTCTCCAAGAAGCAGGAAAAATCAGCCATATTCTCTATGGCAGGGAAGAGCTGCTAAGTGAAAGCACTTTTCCTTTCCACAGAAGCCTTCAGGCAGGTCATCAATGTTTCCATGGTATCAAGGTTGTTCTATAAAACTTTGTAGTACCAGCATAGGAGGAGTGTTCATTGCCCAAGGGCTGAGCCGGGTCACTGACAACTGCAGCTGCTGTGCTGTCACACTCAGGTCATTGGCAGAGTCAAGGTCAGAGACACCTACAAATTGGGACACTTGGGGGAAGTTGTGAGACTTGTGGGGGAGTGAATGGCTGTAATAGGAGACTCGGGTGTTTTTGAGTCTCTCTTTTCAAATGATGCATGGACCTTGCTAGAACTTTGTATAAATCTCTAATTTCTAAAATAGGCTTTTGTCACTTTCTACTTTTTTTTGCAATTGTATGCAACATGCATTTTCTGCATTCTTCTCACACCACAGAACAAGAAGTTCACTCAATGTTTTGAAGTTAAGATTTTGCCTTCCCTGGAAGCAGCCATGCACATTCATAACAATTCTATATGCTCTTAACATAGAGTTGTCCCAAAGCTGGGATGATTTGTGTGATATATTGCTTGTGAGCTGCTGAGGTAGGTTTTGAGCTACCCCTTGTGCCCAGGAGAGTCTTCTACTTTACAACTTTTTTTTAGAAAGGTTAGAAAGCATTATAGGTTTTGTGGTGTTTGGATTTTAGTTTAGAAAGGAATTGGCGAATTCTGTGTGTCCATCTCTGTGTGTGTGTAATGACTGAGACTAAATATGAATTGTCAGTTGCAGAAGAGTTTTATCTCATAAAATGATTGTAACAGGACAATTCTTGTTAGAAGTACAGGCACGATTCCCAAGTGTTTCAGAAGGAAACTTCTGTGCCCATTGAAGAAGGTTTTGGTTTATTGGCCTGGTTACAGTGAATGGGGAGTGTGGCTTAAACTGGAGAGTCTGTTGTGAGAGATTTCACTGTCGAGAATCCCCTCAGGTATTAGTGTTGTAAAGAGTGTAAGAAAGAGCAGATGACAGAATGTTGCATGTGAAAATGAATGGAGCTGGAGTAACAGCTATTTGCTTTGTTAAAAAAAAATAAAAAGTGTTTACAGTTGTGTGACTGATTCCTTAAGCTGTTAACATGCCAAAATTTGAAAATAATACAGTGTTTGTGCTGAAAATTTTCTATTTCAAATTTACAAAAACAGCTTGGAAAGCAAATAAATAACATGCATGCAAGTACTGAAATAAAAGATTTTGAGGAGTAGTTTAACTTGCTGTCCCCAAAGAAAAGCAAACAGCCCCTATCAGGTTGACATACTGTTTAATATTCCAAGCACATCTGTCACTAAGCACTGCAGAATTGCTGTGTTCAGGTTAAATGATCAACAAAAAACCTTTCTTCCTGTGGCTTCTTAAGTTTATTCAAAGAGAAACTGAAAAGCAGAGGGAAATCCCTTCAAACACAGCTGGGAAGAGATGGGATTTCCCTGGGTTAATTTGATGCTTTTTTGAACAAACTCAGATGTTACGAAAGAAAACTTGTTGACTTTTTTTAGTTGTGTTTTTTTTTTTTTTTCAAATGAGACATTATTATTATGCTTTGTCAAGTGATGCCTTTGAAACATCTTTATCCAACATTTGTAATACTCTAATGTGAGTATTTAGTGCGTAGGCTTCTAACTTGAAAAGTGTGTTAGTTCTCGCTCTTCAAAATACCTGTAACTCATCAGGTGTACTCAGTTTTTTTTCTCTGTGTTTTACTGGCAGTGTGTCAAAGGGAAATAACACAGCCCCTGATACATGTGGCATGGAGTCATGCCCATACAGCAGTTTTGGGCACAAGTCTTGAAATGTGGCAGTAAGGAAAGTAGAACAGAAAGGCAAAGGTCAATGTGAATTGCAAGTGAGGCAGCGCTCTTCTTAACTAGTGCCGTATGATGAATGGTGTTTATTTATCATTTAGGTAGCTGAATAAAATTTATTTTAAAGCCTTCAATGACAGGATTCTTGTAGGCATTTTAATGCTGGTAGGGTGTTGCTCAAAATGAGAGAAAATACTAGTTCAGAAAGGCGATTCCGTGCATTAAGAATGGTCGCGCTTCAGATTAAACAAATTATCTTTCATTGCATCCCTTTTTGTGGATTAATTTTATAGCTTTTTATTAAAGCCAGCTGGTTTGACATGGGTAAGACTAAGTCCTTGGCAGGATGTGTTCACAGGCAGTGGTGTTTTGCCATAAACAGGCCCAGCAGGCAAGCCTTGTATTACACAGATTATTGCAGATTACGTGACATCTTCTGGCATTCCAGATATCTGGTTACAAAAGGTGCAAACCTCCTGCTTTGTTTCAAACAAGGCAGTGTGAAGCAGTCCAGATGTATCATTTCTGATCTTAGTGATGATTTTGAGTGGGGTGGGAGCTGCCTCTGTTTTCTGCTCTTCCACTTGCTGTACAAAGCGTTATAGTTTGATACAAGCATTCCCATTAGGAAGGAGGAGACTACCTCACACCAGCTGCTCCACATCTGTTCTCATTGCGTGTTTGTCTTGTTCTAGGGCGTGTTGGGCAAGCAGTAGCACTACGTGCCAAAGCCTTTGGCTTCAGTGTGATTTTCTATGACCCATACCTCTCGGATGGCATGGAGCGTGCTCTGGGACTGCAGCGGGTGAGCACTTTGCAGGACCTGCTGTTCCACAGTGACTGTGTTACCCTGCACTGCAACTTGAATGAACACAATCATCATCTTATTAATGACTTCACCATAAAGCAGGTAATAATCTCTGTGGGCGCCCTCCACACCGGTGCCGGTTGCCAACTCTGTGTAGCATTTATTTATGTAAATAGGTAGATTCTCATTTGAAAGAAATTTCTTTCCCTTTTGCTGCTTTTGTAATCATACAGGTTTATAGTTGATTAGGAAATAGCTGGTGGCTTTTGTATTGTTGCCTTTACTGTCTTTTTGGCTCGGTAACATTGCATTTGCAGAAATAATTTGCTCTTCTTAATGTCGTTCAGATTTAATAAAGTAGCCTTGATGTAAAAGTACTTTTCCTATGTCGTGGAGTAGCTACTTCCTTTACATGTGTATTTTCAGGTAGCAATTCTGCCTTTCACTCTTGTTCCTCAGTTTGAGTTCTTTCGATGCAATTTAAGGATTGTGACTAAATGGCTCCCCCCTGTGCTCAGTCCTGATGCTCGCAGAGCACTTCATGGATGGAGCTCATTTACAGCACTGTGTTATTGGGAAAAATAATGTTTCTTGGAATTAGTACTATCCCCTCCCCAAAGTTTTAGGTAATATTAAAATCATTTCAAAATCTGGTTACAGTAAGTGCTCTGTTATTGAACTAATTTGATAGTAAGTTTTTTCATTAAATGTTTGGCTTCTGACTCTGACCTCAGTGTAGGTGACAGAGAGAAGTATGTCGCTGAGATGTAAGAATGGAGACAGTATTCAGGGAAGAAACCCTAAGATAGAATAGTTGATTTTGCTGTTCTTCATATACAGTGTTGTATGTGTTGGTAACAATGGCAACAATGACAGTAGCACTCTTTTGAAGTAAAATCATTGCTCGTCTTCTGAGAAATAGTTTGCACCCACTACTCCTGAACTTTAGAACTGAAATACTTACTGAACATGTTCCACAGTCATGTAGGATCGTGGCAGAAAACGGACAGTATAACACACTTCTTGATTTGAGAGTTTAAGGATTTTGCAAATCCATCCCAACATAAAATCAGGATTTGGGATTTAAAACTCGAAAAAATTAAGAAGCTTAAAATGAAACCTCTAAGAGAACAGAGCTCTGTCACCCTGCTCAGAACATTTCCTTTTGTTGTGTGCCTGTGTACATGCAGTGGTTTTTACATGGTTAGATGTCTTTGCAAGCAGACATCTGGACCCAAACAGAATCACACTGAATTCAGTGGGACCACTGAGCAGTGGTCACTCATTATACAGCAGATGTGAAACTAGGGTCAGTTTATCACAGGAAGTTTTTGAGTGGAGGTGGATAAATGTATCAAGCTTTGGAGAAGGCTTAGTGCATTATTCAGAGAAACAAACAAAGAGAAGCATGTTAAAACTGAGTAATACCGTCTGAAATGAAATGCCTATAATAAAATCTGCACTGGAAAGTATATTGCAAACATCTATCTTGCCATTTGTTTCCTTTCATGATCAAAGCAAGGATTAAAATGTTAGAAGACAGTTTTTGCTTTGTATAAGAGTTTGGGTGAAGCAGTCTGTGCAGTAAAAGCAGATGTGAAAACCATAAAATTGTAACACCTCTGAATACTTAGTTTTTGTCTCCTGATCATAATTTAGGCAGACAGAATTGGCCTAAAACTTCTAGAGAGCATTGCATGCCACTTCTGTCCCATATTGCATGTTCATGTAATAACCAATTTTTAAGCAACATACAGAGAAGTGTGGTGCATCTCATTTCACTGAAGTCTCACCCTGAATTTTGTTTAGAATCTGAAATTAAATAACCTTAAATGTGTTTGAATATTTGGTGTCAGTCTTTCAGTAGCTTTTCTCTTGAATTAGTCAGCGTTCTGCCTAGCCACCCTGCTTGTCCTTGTAGTCCCAGTAGCTCACAGAAGTGTTTCATTGAACCTGTGATAATCAGGTGCTCTTAAGAGAGGCTGTCATCTTTTAGTGTTACAGATTTGAGAAGAAGACACTGCAGTTAAAACACAATAAATTTTAGAGCAGCTGTGCAGGTTTAGTGTAGGTAAATTTAACAGCTGTCAGCAGTTCTAGCTGTGAAGCTCTTTCAAGCTTCCACCCATTGTTAAGGATCATCTCCAGCTGCATCCACCCTGGCAGTTTATCATGAGTCACTTAATTCATTCCCACTAGAATGCATTTATGCAGCCATATTCTGTTTGATTTGAACTTGTCTTAGTACTAGTTTTAGAGTTTTGTAAATAGCCCTAAAATGAAAACTGGAGCAAGACTGTTGGACAGACTGGACAGAAGATTTTATCTAGGCTCACTTCAGTGAAAATGTTCAAGTCCTTCAGAGGACATGTAAATTCAGCAAGCTGTACTTTAAACTCGAATTACCCCTTTGCACAGAGATGGGAAGGGTATATGAGCTCCCACGAACCGATATGACACAGCAGGTGTGATTGTCTCTTTGAGCCCACCTGTGCTTGTTTTAATAATAATTCTCACAGCTGATTCAAGTATTGGAGATGCAGTGGTAATTCCCATAAGGAATGTCATGATGTTTGTTAATAGACCAACTTAAGATCTTGCCCCCGTTTCTTTACTGTTCTAATTCCCAAGTTAATTACATAAAACTGAGAGAAGCATTCTTTAGTTCTGCTCCTGTAAGTGGAGTTTGGTTTTGCTGTACACACCAATGGATGGTTCTCTGCTGTCCCAGGAATCTGCAAATGGAGAGAGGCAGGGCCACAGTAAACCTAGAGAGTTGGCTAGGAAAATATGTTGGGTTTTTTCCTTATAAAATACTGCAAGCATATGTATGTTGTACTCCCTATGATCTTGTAAAAACAAAAAAAATCCTCATGGCTGACTTTCATCCAAACCTCCTTGTTGTTCATGAATTTGGCATTTCGAATCAGTCTTTCAGCGTTAGGATCCATTTACATAAGGTTTAGTTTGATGTGTAGGTTTCAAGTCGGTGTCAAAATGTTGGGGTTTTCTTATTCGTATGGTGAGAGACGGAGTCAGTACAAAATGAGATTTTAATAATTCATCTTCAGCATGGTTCCTGCTCTTCATACCCTTTACCTTCATGCACTGAAGTGTTTGAGACATCTGGTAAAAGCTGAAGTATTAGGGTGACCGGAACCAGGATGTAGTAGTTTATGTTTTTTTTCTGTACCATCTCTCTTATTTAAGCTGCCACTTTGTTTTCAAGTTGTGGATATATTGTGGTGTAAATTCTTGTAGTTCTCCCCAAGCAGTGTCATCTACAATGCTAATCTGCACAATGCACAGCACAGCTTCTCTCCTGGGCACACAGCGTTCTCAACCAAATTCATTTTCATGCCTTTTAATTGAATAATAGAAGAATTCTTTAGGCCTTTATTTGAAAAGTCTCACAGGGGAGGAGGAAGCTGAAGTAACAAAAATAAATAATACATACATCTACTGTGTTTTGGCAACTAAAGGGAAAAGTGTTTGAAAATCCAGAAGCATTGATTTCTCTGAAAAAATCCTGTAGGCTTTTATTTGTGTGAAAGTTGAAAGCCACAAAGTATGAATTTGTTTAAGAATGTGCTGTAGTTTCTGTCTCATGCAATTTCACAGTGAAAGAAAAAGGCATAAAATGATCTGTCACTCTCCTATGCACAGTTGTATCTTTTGATCATGTTACTGCACAATATCTGAAACAACGCTTCGATTAAAAGGCACTACTTGCAAGAAACAAAAGGTTATTAAGTGCTGTGAAATAGCATTTTATGTTAGAAGCATCACATTTTGTGGTACTTTCCAATGGAAAGGGAAGACAACTGTGTTACAGTTTAAACCAGCTGAATAGCCTTTGTTGTAATGGATGCTTCTTTTGAGTAAAAAATAATGCCACAACGATTTTATTTCATTTATTTTTATTTCATCATTCTTGTTTTTAACTTTCCCTAGATGAGACAAGGGGCTTTCCTGGTCAACACAGCTCGAGGTGGGTTAGTAGACGAAAAAGCACTTGCACAGGCCCTGAAGGAAGGAAGGATACGAGGGGCAGCCTTAGATGTACATGAGTCAGAACCATTCAGGTGCTTTTCCTTTTCTTTTCTTTTTATTTCGTTCACTTCCTTATTTTTAAGTCTTAGTGCATGATACAATCAACAGCAACAAGTAAACTGAGTTTTCCGTTCATTTGGTAGCTAAAGACTCCTTAGCAAAGCAACATGACTCTGTGCAGCACTGGACTAATGCAAATGTAGATGGAGCTTGTGTATGTGGTCAGAAGTGAAAAAAGCCACATCCAAGATTTAATTCCTTAAAAAAAAAACCCAAAATCAGTGGGTTTATTTAGTAGAAGCAGCAGAGGCTTTGGTTCAAATCCTGGGCATGGCTTTGGCCGTGGCTTTGAGGGGAGTGCACCTTTGTCATTGATGCAACTCTGGAGACAACTAATATTGATGTCTGAACAGAGTTTTTCAAAGGCAAAGAGTTGAGATGTGGTGTGAGAAATAACTACTTTATGACACCTTTCTGAAGGAAAAGACATATTTTTGTCCAGATTGCCTCTGCAGGAAAACCATAAATGTAATAGGTCGCAAAAAAAAAAGTTAAGGAAGGCTGTCAGAGTGCAGGTTGTGTTTTGCTTTACCCTTTATTCAGGGGAGTAGTAACTCTGCTGTCAGTAGCAGGGCTGATAGCACAAGCCTGACTTTCTGAATGACTCAGAAGTCCAGTGTTTTAAGGCAGAAATGTACCACTCCCCTAAGTGGCACTGACACTGCAATATCTGCACTCCTAATCAGAAATGAGCCTATTCATATGTCCTTGAGAATAGGCTGCTGTAGCTTAGTCCTTGTGTGTGACAAGCCTTTTTCAGTCTGGACAGGGAAAAATGTTAATTTTAACTGGAACAATCCACAAAAGTTTTTGAAGAGAAACAGATACAGGGCAGGTTGTAAAGACTGGAGAGAGGACAGTATCTCTCATACCAGCTTGGGGCTGGGGAATAGTAGCTTTGAAAAATTAGAAGAGTGTCCCTTTAGTCGGAATTTTTATATCTACTGAGGCACAATGCCACATCACAAATATTTAATTTTATTTATGCATACTCTGCATTCATTTACTCCTAAATGTAGTCATTACAATGCAGTAGTGCTGTGCAAAGCCAGAGTCTTAGCAGCTCAAGGGACCTCCAGCTCCATACATTCTTCCCGATTCCGCTCTCGGATCTGCACGAGCAGCCCGTTGCACCTCTAGGAAGCCCCATTTACTGCATGGAGATGCCATCTGCAGAGATTCAGCTGCAGGATTACAGCCACAATTTCCTTTGGCTTCAGTGCTGCATGTCTATCTGATCGCAGCATGCAACTCTTTATTCAAGAGTTTTGCCAGATATTTTGATGTTTATTGAACTACAGATGAAATCTGTCTCTTTTTTGAATTATGACCAACTCTGAAAGCACGCTTTTGTCTTAAAGTATTTGTTCTCCCGTTGTTACAGTTGACTACAAGATTATTAAAGCTGGAAATAAATAGGAGGAGCAAGTTTCCATTATTTTCAGTTTCTTTACTCTGTATCTGTGATAACACTTTTACACAGATTCATTGCCTTCCCTGAAAATCAATCTGAAAAGTAAATTTCCTTTTTTCTGTGGCGTTTCTATAAGGGAACGGGAAAGAAAAAAATTAGTTAGAAATAATGGAAAAATAACAACTGAATTATCAAAAAAACTTGTGTGCTGATGGTCACACTTCTGATTTGGAAATAATTGTAAGATTTTTTTATTTAAATGACTGAATGTCACATTGACTGAAAGAACAGAGCTTTCTTGGCTAATGCAGTAAAAGTAAAATTGTGATGAACTGGACAAATGGAATGGCATCCTGATTTAATTTGGGTTTTGCTTTTGCATTTCTGCCCCAGAACTGGAGTGGCAGTGGCTGTAGTTACAATAAGTGCATTGGACAGAAGCTAATGTTGCTGCTATACTTAGGTTTTACCCTTTGAGTCTATAAAACGTGATTGTTGCTTATTTATACCATGAGTAGTGTATTAAATTAACTGACAGAATTAAACCCACCGAAGAATAGAAATGAAATTCTTTTCTGTTGTAAAAATTAATCTGTGTATGTACAAATCCATCTGGATTCCCCTCCCCTTTCCTCCCTCCCCTCCCAATATTTTTTGTCATTTGATCTTGTTTTAAATCTTCATTTAGCTTTAGTCAGGGCCCCTTGAAGGATGCACCAAACCTGATCTGTACCCCACATGCAGCCTGGTATAGTGAACAAGCCTCAATTGAGATGCGGGAGGAAGCAGCGCGAGAGATCCGAAGGGCGATCACAGGTACTGACTCACCTTATTGGCTCCTTCCCTGCCTCGTTCTTCCTAACAAACCTTTTTTTCTTCAGTCTTGGAAGATGCTGAAAAGAACCAGCCTTAGGTTTTGTTTGCCATTTCTAGTATTTGGAACACAGAAATGAGCAAATGCCCACTAAGTCTGTTCTCAGAACTGGAACAGCTTGTTTTGGAGGTTCTTTGCAATTACAAAGGAAGGCAGGCACTTCAAAATAAGTGCTTTTTTCGTATAAGAGAAATGTATTTAAATGTGAAAAATCTGCTGCCTTTCTTCTTTGTTGCATGTAAGTATTGGCTGCAAGGCATCCTGGTATTGCTGGTGTCTTTATTAGCTTTTCCTGTGTTCCCCCTTATACTTGGCAGGAACAGTTCTGATTCTCTACGTCAAAGTATTTTGTTGGGAGGTTATTCTATTTTAGATGTTCCTCTCTTTAAAGCATTGCTAAAGAAGCCTGGCATTTTAAAGGGCAAAGTGTCTTTGTTATATAACTACCATGTAATTGTAAACTGCTCACATAAGAGAAAACAGTTATGTCTCTAACATGCACTGCTAATAAATAAAATGAGAAGACTGAGCCATTTGGCATTGGTTTGAATCCCTTGTAGCCTAAAATAAAAGGAAGGATTTTCATACTGGAAAATGATTCATTAAGCACTAATGTTTTCTCTTTAGTTGGACTTTGCTGTTTCCCCCTTGGCGATACAGTCTGAATGCTCTGCAGACATGCAGGGCCATCTGTGTCACCTTGAGAGTAGCTCAGTGCCAACACATTGCTCTGCTATACAAAAAGCACTGGCAGTAGCCTTCCCTCTGGCTTGTGCCTAAAGAGGCTGGGCAATTTAGTTTCATTTATAGCTTGTGCAGAAGGAAGATTCTCCTGGATGCTAATTAAAGGCCCCTCTTAAACTCCTGATCTGAATTGTCCTTTACCGGACTATTTCGCTCTGTTTTAGAGGTGACCTAAAGAGCCTGAGCATCCCTTTGCTGGAACTGATCCCTGTGCCAGTACTCAAGAAGAACTCCAGCAGTACATTTGTTTGTCAGGGTGTTGTATAACTTTTCCCTGCTCCCAGATAACTCCAGGAGAGGTTGCACGAACCATCATCTGATACCTGCTTGAGGGAGGATTAATGTGCAAATAAGCATTAATAGGCTATGGTCTGAAAACTAAATAAGAGCTATCCAGAGCTAGTTTTATGTTAAATTTATGCAGTAGCCCAAACATAGGTGCCTAGGAGGGCAGACCCAGGATTCCTTAAAGTGTGTGATTGTGCTCTTAGCAATCTGTATCACTGATTTGTGTTGGGGGCTGTCAGCACTTCAGTGTTTGCATATGGTTTGTAGTAAGATCAAACAGAGACCAGCGTTAGGGAGGTGAGAACGACACTGAATTGCTGTGAAACATGTAGGAAAGATACAGGATATGTGAAATAAAGATGGATATGTGAAAGCCAGAGGGGAACACAGCAGAGAGAGAGTGTAGAGAGGGGACATAATTGGAAAAAGGTGTGCAGTAGGAATGTAGACTGTGGCTACCATCTGACAATAAAGACGTTAAGTGGTTGTCCTGTTGCCAAAAGGTCAATGGTGGTGTGATGTATAAAATAAAAATAATAAGCAGAGATTAAATATCTTTAAATATCTTTTTAAACTTGAAAGCATTCCAAGTATGAAATAAGGAGGATCACTGAAAACAGTAGTGGAAGCAAGGGGAAGGCGAGCAGGGCAAGTGAAATTTTAAAATAAACAGATACTGCTTTTTAAGGGGAGAACTAGTAGAACATGCTTACAGAATTTAGCAAAATGAAGAATGAGAGGGGCAAAGAGGAAGACATGATTAAGAAGGATAAACATCAGAAGAAGAAAGATACTGTTTAAATTTGTGGACAGTTTTGGCAGAAGTGGAGATGGATGTGTATTTCGGCTACATTTACAATATGATTTCTAATCAGGAGAATGGTAGGAATCTACCCATAATGGGGCATGTACCTCATCTTGTCTGATACTGAGGAAAAAAGAACCTTTTCAGCTTGTGCACAGGAGATGTGACAAGTTTTGTGATGTCAGTGCAAGTCATGGAGTAACAAGTATTTGATGGTATCCACTACACGAAAGGCAATTTTGTGACAGGCTTTTTTACTACCTCTTTGTAGCCAGGCTGATGGATAGAAAGAGCAGACAAAGAGTAGTGAAGTCCTTAATCAAATTTCCAATAGGAAGCTGAAGACAAAAGCCTGAATTCTTTAATGATGGAGGATGGTCATTTTTTGAAAGTGTTTCTGGAGTACCATTGCCAACAGTAGCAGAGGTGGACCCAAACTTACCTCTTTCTACCCCTGTTTGTGCAAATGCACAGTAAGATTGAACTTTAGAAAAGATACATTAAAACAGATGTCAGAAAAAACACTGGCTCCAATTGATCTTCCTCCCATTGAAATAGGTGGAAATATTCATATTGCCATGAACAAAATGTGTTATATCTGTTCATGTAATTTGTTGCAGGGGTGGAGATAGTTCTGCAGAAGACAGACAGAGAGGGTTGTCCAATTATGTGCTGAATCAGGTTGACAGTCTTAAAACTTCAGCTATACTTCAGAGGTTAAGCAAAGGTTTTGAAGAAATGAAGAAGGGAAATTCTCATGTATTTTCATTTTTTGTAGGAATTAAAGGGATGGCTGAGGGTTAATACATGATAGTAAATAAATGTGAAGAGCAGTTGAGATAAATAAAGGGAAGATCAGGAGGACAGGGTGTTGGTCATATCCAGGTTTATGGCAGAATTCCATTCAGAATCCTACATTCTTCACTGTTTTTACTGCTGTTACAAATGGAGGGAAAAGGAGGAAACTGATGTTAAAGACTCAGAGCAGGAGGCTGCATTATTGAATTTGAGTGGTAGTTGCTCTCTGTATTCAAGTTACAGCTTCATGGAAAGCTTGAATCTTGTGGATTTGGGTTTTATTGAGACCTTGTTTGCAAGACACAAAGAGAGACAGAGAAACCAATATTATGCAGAGTATTTTGGCCATTATTAAGTCCCAGGCAAAGGAGAAACAATGAGGATCAAAACCAAGCTCTCAGTGTAATTTTACGTATTTATTTAAACCTGCAAATATTTTTGACTATTTTTAGCATAAACACATGAAGAGCATAAGGCCTACAATTTTTGTGTATATTTACTTCCTCTCCCTCACTTCATCCTAGGTCGTATTCCAGACAGTCTGAAAAACTGTGTTAACAAAGATCATTTGACTGCAGCTACGCATTGGGCCAGCATGGATCCTGGAGTGGTTCATCCAGAGCTTAATGGTGCTGCATACAGGTAAGAGTGCTGAAGATGCAGGAGAAATACCTCCTTAATTCAGATGGAGGTATTTGAGAATAGATAGAAGACCTTCCTATTAATAAATGAAGTGGGTTTGGATTAGACACCAGCTGTATTGTTTTCATAATTGTTGCATTCAGGGGAATAATCTTGTTTTGCTGGTTGAAGTCAGTCATGCTGTGTAAATATGATTCCTCTTATAATCTCTTTTGTTTGGTTAGTATATATGAACTACACACATTTGTATATTCAAGTAAAACAATTTTGGTCATCTCTGGTGAGCGCAGTGGAAATTTATGTTTCTTGTTGCTGAAGGTAATGATGCAGCAGTAGCTTGCAGATAGACTTTCAGTAATAAACTATTCTTATGTTGGTTTGTGGCCTCCAGACACAAGAGTAACTCAGTATTGAAAATAGCGAAACAGCCTGTGGTGATTATGAAAATATGTTTAAAATAACATTTTCTAAATTGTATGTTTAATTTTTAAGCAGAAGCATTTGAGGGACTTGATCTGTCTATTCTCAATCAACTGTGAAAGCAGGTCTTAATAATTAATAGAAAGGGGCAATTTTTTACATTGAACATGCACATTCCTTAGTTACTTTGTTTGCTTGAGTCTCTCTCTGTCCTTTATCCCTAGCAGCTGTTCTAGCAACAGATTTTTCCTAGTAGCCAGCTTCAGACAGTTTTTATTTATGAAAAACATCTGCAGTTTTTTAATCTTCCAGTATGGTATTTACACATAAGTAGGATGAAAGTGGCTGAGAAAGCTACAAACAGATGCTTCCCTTGATGCTTTGAGGGAAGGGACAGTGCAGTCTTTTTGTTATTTTGTCATACCTCTTTATCCTAATTTTTCCCCTGTCCTTAATCATTCAGCCACCTTATCTTTGCCCTTCTTTAGGAGCACTACCACCCCATGCTTTTAATAGGGAGAGGGATCCCTGGTTTTGTGTTACTTACTCCATATGGGAACCCAGCTGTGCACAGCTGAGAAATGAAGCAAAGCTCTTCTGTCCCAGTGACTTGGAACAGTCTCATCAGAAAATGATGGAGAGGTGGAGGGGGAGTGTCACCACCCTCTGCCATAATCCCTTTGTCAGTAGCCATAAGTGCACTAAAGGAAAAGAATAACTTGGATTTGGTCAACATGTGTTTATCTCATGTAACATGAAGATTTTTTATTTTTGGAAAAAGTACCCATAGCCCCAAATATCTGAAGAAGTGTGTTTTTATTTGCTTAAATGAGGAGGTCAGGCACTTGTGTTCTCCTCCACACAGCCTGTGGTTTCACTGACTTCAGTTTGGAGGAGTGAGGGTATGGCTGAGTGTAATTGGGGCTTAAAGGCAGGTGTTGCTAGACTGGGGGTAATAACTCCAACTCTGTCATGGCAGTTAAGAACAGGGTTCCATGCCCCAATAAAATGAAGGTTTTTGTTCTCATTTTGGGGGTCACAAGTCCAGCAGAAGCAGGCTTCACAGCCAGAAATTAATTTTAACTTAGGAATGTTTTGGGAGTTAATGATTTACAAGGTAAAGACCATATGTGTTCAATTTAAGCAGGATAAACACAGGACTGAATGACTTTTTAAGACATTGTTTCAGTCAGTTTTTTCAATAAAGAAAATTCATTGTAAAATTCTGACTTCACAATTACTTTCAAACACAAAATAGAACTCATTTGGGGAATTTTGAGGCAGACATTAACAATTATAAAATAAATATTAAAAGCTTCTTTTTGCAGAGGTGATAGAATAGTGTTTGAATGTGGGTGAAAGCAGTTATGTGCAGTACAAAATATGCAGCACTTGAAGCTCAGGTTTTATGAAGAAATTGGTTTCAATAGCAGTGTTTGCTGATGCTTAATTCCTACCTGGATTAAGTACAGTGTTTGAATTGATTGTTTAAACCAAATTTTTCCATCTTTTCTTTGCAGTCCAAGATTATGTTCAGCTAAGTGAGTTCTGGAGTCTCTCACAAGGCAGTATGAAGTTTCAGATGTGCTAATAACTGTATTATAGTCATGTAATTGCATTAGAAGATAAGACCTGGGATAATAATTTATATGTTAAAACATGCAAATAGCTCTTTCAGTGAACTAAAACTAACGAGGCTGTTTTATTCTGGTTATATCATTTACTTGTATTTTGATGTAGGACAGAACTCTCAAATTATCAGATATTATCCCCAAGCCAAGAGCATTGAGCATTCGTCAGCTGAATATAATCTAGATCTGAATATCCCCGTATTCTGTGGGAAACAAAACCATTTACTGTGCGAAATGCAAGCTGCCCTATCAGCACAAAAGGTCATGCAAACAGGACCTATCCCATGAGTAAAGATTCACAATATTCCTGAGAAGAAATTACTTGTAGTGGTCTTGGTAAAGCAGCATAATATACCCGGGTCTTGTGTTATTACTGTGTGTTTGTTACCGAGCTGCCTGTTAAATAACCCCCTGCCATTTCCTGTGTCACAGAGCAGGCAGGTCATGAGCAAAGTGGAATTTAACAGCAGTAAACAGTGATTGTACCGTTTATAGACATGTTGACATATCTTCCTGCCTTCCAGCAGGTAGGAGATAAAAAGGCTGAGTGAGGGTCTCAGCAGCCTGGTCTAGAGGAAGGTGTCCCTGCCCATGGCAGTGGGTTGGAATTGGATGATCTTTAAGGTCCCTTCCAACCAAAACCATTTTATGAATAGTATCTACAAATACTGAATAGGTACTCGGATGAGAAGAGCTGGATTTTGGTAATTCAGAAGTTATTTCATGTTGAGGGACTTTGCTGGTGATTTTGAGACTCTGTAATGCATGATAACAGCGTGCACTTAAATTTTTAACCTCTTCTGGGACAGACTCAGCTTCTCAAACAGAGCTTCACATAGTTCAAGGTGCTTCTGCACTTTAAAAAATACAGTGGATTAACATAGAAATTAAAATTGCCTTTCATTGTAATTAAGAATTACAATGTATCTTTCTTCCTAGATTAAGACTACCTGGGGGAAGGGGAAGGAACACTCTGAAGTAACAGAGGAGGTGTAATTGATCTCTTGCTTCTGCTTTTACAAAAATTTAATTCAGTGAACATTTTACCTGGAAAATGTCTTCTTGCTGCCAGAGGAGGAAGATAGGGAGAACTTCATGAAGTGCTGGAGGGAGTATATTTTCTGGTTAAGAATAGAAAAGCATTAAATGGCAACAAAAGGGAAGGTTATATAGAATAGAAATGCTCTTGGGTAGAGGCTGTTGAGTTTTTGCCTTCTTTTCAGAGGTAGGATTTGAACAACACTGATGATTAAATTGAAAAGAGACAAAAATTACAAAAAGAGAATGACAAGGTAGAGCTAGGAGTTGTCAAGTAAAATACAGCTTCTGTAGAGCAATATGTTTTCTGTATTTTGGCTGCTACCACAAACAATTGCAGGGCCTCTTGGCGTTACTGAAAATCTGGAGGAAACCTGTACCCGAGGAGAGGTGCTGGCAGGGGGAGTCCTGGCTATCATAACTTGGTATCCAAGGGGAAATTTCATATACAGACTGTGTAGTTTGAACTGCTTAATGTGCTCATGAGGTAACTGCTAAAGCTCCTGATTCAGCACTGTCCATTTTCACGAGAGGAGGCTCTGGGTTTTCTTCCTGAGGAAAATGCAATTGCAGAATTTGCACTCTCCTTGATTGCTCCCAGCTCCAGTGTGTTGAAGCTCAGGGAATATGTTGTTAGAAAGTAGAGATTATGTTGGGAACAGCTGCTGTGTAGGACTTCTAAATGGAAGTTTATGTCATGTTGTGTTTTGCAAAGCACCTAGAGTAACAGATAAGCTGTTTCAAAATTAAATTAGAGCAAGTAAGACAATACCCTGTCTGACAGTTTTCATAGGAATTGAAGCAAATTTGATTAATAAGATTCAAATGGAGTTACTGAAACAAGCAACTAATTCCATTAGCAACTGCAAATTAATTCTAAGGAACCTCTCTGGAGAAGGAATTAGCATAGGAAGCCCTGTAAATATGTGTACAATTGGGAACAAAGTTATCTGGCCTACAGGTGGTGTGATCTGTCACATCCTGGTTATCCATCCCAGATTGTAGTCAGCCTTTTGTAAAGAAACTTTCCCAGGATGACCAGACCAGTGTGTGGTGTCCTTGTTGTCCCTGTGCCATGTTGGGTAGCCATGCTGAGCCCCTCTGGCACAGTGTTTGCAAAAAGCACTTCCCATGATGGTTTCTGTGGTGGAATCAAAAAGAACAAGTAAATGTGCTTGCATCCAGCTTCTTTCCTCCTCTGAGTTTTGTGTAGTTCTACACTAATTTTCTGTCAGTTTGAGGGGAATTTAGGATGAGCAGCACAAACATCTATTGCCTTAGAAAAGATGCTGCAGAAATGGGGCAAAATTCAGCATTAAACTCTTTATCAGGTGAAAATCAACAGCAGAATAACATGATACTTGAAAAAGCTTGACAAAGCCTACAAGTGCTTTTTCTCCCATGCAGCCCTGAGTAAAATACTTGTGTAGCAAAAGGTGCTGTGAGTGGTAGGTTTGTGTGCTTGGACTTTCAAATGGATAATGCTCCCTTTAGGATGCTGGGGTGAGCAGAATAATGATCAGGAGAGAACAGGGGATGGATGTGCAGGTTTGTGATGAGGAAGGGAGGCAAAAGGTCAATGTCCAGCGTGACATAACTTGCAAATAGGTATTGAGGTATTTGACTAAAAAGAAAACATATTTTTATTAAATTCATGTGTAGCTGTTGTTTATATGCAGCACTGCGAAATGCCAGTGTTCACCAATTACATCTGAACTTTGGGATTGAGGCAGTAGATTTGCAAGACTTTTTTTTAGCCTGATGATGTCAGATCCATCATAAAATCATGCTGAATAATTTTTTTGTTGTTGAATTCATAAAATATTTAGGTCTCGGTGTTTTTCCAGATAGAGTAAGAAATCTTTAAAACCATCCACAGTTTTTGTGTTTGCATCTCTCTTTCTTGCAGTGTGCCTAAAGCACCTGTCCTGTGTATAACTAGGACTGGTTCTCTTTCAGACAAGTGCAGTGGCAAGTTTTATGCTGAAGAAGTTACTCAGATTCAATAGGCATCTGAATATCATCTGAGGATTGTGGGAGTATAATTGCTTTTTTTGGGGAGCTATCACAAAATTAGGACTGCAAGAGTAGTATAAAGAAATACTTTTTCAAACCACAACAATGTAAATTTAACCTTCTACATGAGAATGAAAGAGGAAAAAAAACAACCCTGAAGGTCAACTTGAAGAAAAGTCGTAGAGAACAGATACTGCACAGACCCAGCCAGAATTAATTCTGGTTGAGGTTATGCTTTGAGAGGAGCAATGCTTCCAGATTTTTTCCTTTGCTGTGCTGTCACTCACGCTGTTCAATCTGAAGAAACAATCTAGCAAACCTTTATTTCTCATTCGGTAAAATACAGCATCTCCTGCTTTGTTTATCAGCATCTGCATATGGCATCTCACCTGGAGCTTAACTCCCTGGCTTTGTAGCTGCTCTGAAAACAAAAGAAGCGTCTCTGTAGCTCTAGGAGGAGACAGAGTGGACTTTCTGGTGGGTCACCTCATGGTTTTAACGTGTGCTCCTGTTTTCTCCTCCCAGCAGGTATCCCCCGGGCGTTGTAAGCGTGGCTTCCACTGGCATACCTGCAGCAGTAGAAGGAATAGTCCCCAACCCCATGTCTTTATCACACGGCCTCCCTGCTGTAGCCCACCCGCCCCACGCTCCTTCCCCTGGCCAAACTGTCAAACCAGAAGCCGATAGAGACCACCCAAGCGACCAATTGTAGCCTACGAGAACAGCATTCCCAGCATCGGAGAGCTCCACTTCAGCGCGTGGAAAAACAAAACAACAAGACAAACCCCTGGATTTTGATTAAAGGCAAAACCATGAACTTACAGGAGGAGACGATTATTGTTTTAGAAACTGGTCCAATATACAGTATAAAAGGAAAAGGTGGGAGACAAAAAAAAAGAAGATTTGGAAACATTTTTTTCCTCCGTATAAATTGTAGTTTGTCCCTGTCCAGTGGACTGATTCACTGTTTCTGTGTCCTATGGGTTCTTTGTTAAGCAAGAGAAGTTAGTAGTTAATTATATCATGAATGTACTTGTCTGTGTACAGTTTTTAGAACATTAAAAAGGGTTTGTTTGCTTAGCTGTCAACAAGGAAAAACATAAGGGAGGCATTCAACAAACCAATTTTGAGATTAAAAATCCTTTCTTTTATATTTTAAGACATGCCCAAAAATGAGGCAGTTGGCAAACTTCTCAGGACAATGAATTTTTCCCATTTTTCTTTCTACGCCACACAGTGCATTGTTTTTTCTACCTGCTTGTCTTATTTTTTAGAATAATTTAGTAAACAAAAGAAAAAACAGTTTCTCCTAATTTTGGCATGAATTCCCTTATTTCAAAATGAAGACAACCTTGCAAAGAGATTTTGAGGAAAAAAAAAAAGGTTTTGTATAAACGAGCGTTGTGCTTTTTGTCACCAGTTAAAGTATATATTATTGGTGGTATCTGGAAAAGGCACTAGACTACTGAAAAGTAGCAGCATTTCATTGCCTACATTGATTCCTTCCTGGTAATGTGGTAGGCTAGCAATATTTTTGGTTAAAATCATGTTTGTGACTGTAACCATTTGTATGAATTATTTTGAAGAAATAAAAATCCCAGACAACTATCATATGTGTAAAAATTTTTATTTCTAGTAACTGTTTATTCAACTTTTATTAGGTTTCTTAGCTGTAATTTTTAAACAGATGCTGTCAAGTATTTCATTTCTAGCTTTACTTTGCTCTCTGTTGTTTGTAATACTGTCTTGGAAGCTTGAAAAATAAAAAAAAAAAAGAATTCTTTCCATACCATTTTTCCCTTTACATTTCGTAAATGTTGATCTTTTTTCCTGTGTTTCTAATGGAGTTTGAAATTAAGATGGATTTTGATTTGTACACCGGCATCATCAGCTACAATATGGTAACAGCATTTATGCCACCACTGTGGGCAGAGCAGAGGAGGTACAACAGCAACACAACAACAATAATAATAATAATAATAAATGTCTTTTGCCGAAGTCCAACATGAGAAGTGTCCATTGTTTTATTTGCTTTTGTGATGATGGAAGTGTGCAGCAGGATGTAATTGTATTTGCTGTATTGCAGGAGTTTGTTTCCCTGAGCAGAGGCAGAAGTGTGTTCAAGGCAGGTTGGATTTCAGCTGGATGCTGTTGTGGCCTTTCCTGTGCTCCTGGATAAGATGTCCTTCATCCCTGCACAGTTTAAAAAAGCAAGACAGAGCAGTTAAGCTGCTGCAGGAAGGAAATCCATGGTGGGCAAAAGTGAACATGGACATGAACCTCCTTGGTGGTGTCTTGTCTTCGTTCACTATAAATCTGAACTAATAACAGTGCCCATAAGGTTGGTGAGCTGGTTTTATGGGTTCTGTGAAAAGCTACTCTCCCCCATTCCTGCAAGTCTACCGAGCAGCCTCCACCTCTCTTAGGGAACTGGTGGGAGGCTGTGAATCAAGAAAGACTAAAATTTGAGGGTCTGTACCCCAGGAGCACTATAGGAAGTGAAATTTTGTCTCTGTGGAAGAGTGGCAGGTTTTTGCCTTGAACATTTAGAGCTAAAAATGTCATCCATTGCAGCTTACTTGATGGTAAAGCCATTTCTGTTCCCTCCATGAAACAGAAAACAGCCCTAGTGCTGCAAGCTTTTCCAGCAAAAACGCTTCTGAGAGATTTGTTGCAAAAAACCAAATGCAGTCCCCTGCTGTTGAAGTGGGATTTCATATTTCAATGGCAATTCATATTTTAGGGTTAGGGTTAGCTTTGTCAGGCTGAAGTTGCTTTTTTAACATATGTAAAACAAACCTTTAACATCTGGCTGCAGAGAATTGCTGGCAGTCACATTTGCAAGCAAATCTCCCAAGGAAAACCAAGAGGGTTTGTTTTTTCCTTGGATCAGTTTGGACATGGCTTATGTAAGTCAGCTTTGTTTCTAGTGGATCGATATACTGATGAACTAGAAATGAAGGCACTGGTATTTATTGTGTGCCTTTCTAGGCCTCAGTTCTGGAGCTTTTGAGCCATTGGCACAAGCATTTTCAGTATTTGAGCTCAAAATCCTGTGCTTACAGGTCTGACAGGGCATTGCCACTGCAGTGGTAATGTGTTTAATATTTTTATGCTACTCTTTGAGACATATCTGTTGGTCTGACTGATGGAGAGTAATCCAATTTCCTGCTTCAGAAAGGAAAGCCATCTAGGCAATGACAAAACTGATAGGTACTGACTTTTGGGTTATGGTCTGAAAAGCTAAATTAAAAAAAAAAAGAATCTAATAAAAAAACCCAAACTTGGAGTAAATGACTAATTGAAAAAGCATCCCACAATAAACAAAGGCCACTATGCTGGAGTAACCTTCTGTCTTTTATGACTGCTTTTGCTGGGTAGTGGAAATGTGATTAGATTTCCTCTGTCTGGTAAAGGATGTTCTAAATAAAGTTTAGACAGAAGAAGGTGCAGTTAGTGGGAAAACACAAAAGTGGTGAAGGCGATGGCAGCAGAGGCCACGGATGATGTGAGGCAGTGCTGAAAGGTGAAAGAGGAGGTTAATCGAAGTGCCTGCCTTGAATATGATTTTCTTTTGGTGGCGTTATTTGAATTAGGAGTCTTGGCCAAGGAGGAGGCCAAGTGTGCCAAAACTGCTGCTGGCTGAAAGGCTGTGGGATGGCAGGAGGCTCTGGAGCCTACACAAGATGGTATCGAAGAGTGGGCAGAAAGATGCCAGTTGGGCAAATGCAAAGTCAAGTAGTTGCAAGTCAAAGAAAAACTTGTCAGAAAAAGGATCCATGAGTGTTTTTCCGTGGTAGAGCTAATGGGTTGCTGCTGTGGGAGGAAGCAGCGTGGTGGCAGATGTGTCTGGCATGGTCTCTGGTAGGTCTGAGAATGAATTAGAGATGCTGCATGGGAGCTGGGGCATTTGCTGTGTAATTTTGGTCAGGCATCTTCAAGAGGTTGAGCTCGAGCTGAAGTCACAGCAGAGATGGGCTCTCAAAATGACCAGTGGTGTGCAGGGCTTCTGTGAGAGGAAATCAGAGTTACTTGGCTTTTACAGCTTGAAGTGAAGGCAGAGCTGGGGAAATAAGTGTAAATAGCAAATGCTGTGGAGGAAGGAGAAAAGTTTAAAGAAATCTTGTATATGAACAGACAGGCTTAAATAGGATGAGGAGGAGATCTCTGTCAGCAGGGAGTCCTGGGATAGGTTTGCAGTTGGGAGTTACTGGGACTTGGTCCTGAAGTCCCTGCAGCTTGGGTTGGGGTCTTGGTTTTGTGTTTGGGGTCTTTTTTTTTTTTTACTATAACTTTGTTTTTACAATCCAAACTGTGAGAACAGTGTTTAAAGGTCATACAAGATTGCTACCAAACCAGCAACTAGAGGCTTTTTCCACTCAGGATAAAACACTTCAGCTTCCTTTTTAACAGGCCTCCAGGCTTTTTCCTTTAATAGGGATTTTTTTTTTTTGAGACAAGGTCTTATTTTCTTGTCCAATTTGCACCTCAAATGATTAAGGCTGGCTGTCCAAATGACCATGACTGCTGCAGTCTGGCTGTTCCCAGCTTGCTCCGTGCCTCAGACCAAAGGGTTTTCTCCTTTAATTTTAGTGAATGCTGCAGTAGTGCCTGTGGTTCTGCTTGAAGGAGAAGACAGCACTGCCAGTACTTCCTTTATTCAGTTCACTCCAACCTTTCTACCTTTTTTAAACTGGAAAAGGAAAAAAGGGAGGAGGGGGGGAAATGTCATTGGTTTTAAGGGCAGAAAGTAATATTAGATCATTTTGTCTGACCACTTAGTAAAGCTGTTAAATGTGATGTGTCTTCATTAAACTTGATACCGTGTTTTGACTAGAGTAAATCTTTCAGAAAGATTTCTAGTATTTATATCAAAATGTCAGGTGATGGGGGTTTTTGCTATTTCCTTTAATAGTTTGTTTAAATGGGGAATATCAGTCACTGTAATTTTTAAACGGCTTTATTTAATTTGGCTTTCCCTGCCTCCAAATTCCAGTTATTGTTTCTTGTTGAACATGAGGTCATGTAGGCTGACTTGAATTTAGTGAGCATGTCACATTTTAGCCAACTTGCCTTTGTACTGAGGTCAGTGACACATCTTCCAGGAAGACTGAACTGTGTTATTCATCTGTTTTCTTTTCCAGTTTCTTTCATTGCACTGTACATCCTTTCCTTTGTGGCTCTTTACTTTTGCCCTTTGGAATTACATAGTCCAGTATGATTATCTTCTGCAGACAAAATTACAGGATTTCTGATCTGAGGCTTTCAGCTGTTGTCTTCTGAGTAGATGCCCAATGCAGTGGTCCTGCTCTCAGTCTGAGTGCTCTCTTTCATCCCACCCCCTGCATCCTTTGTGCTTCTGCCTCTTGCAGGATGGACCTTGTCTGGGTCTCATACCTCATATCAGTCTCTTCGACCCTCAGTGCCTGCCTCCTCTCTTTATTCCTTGTTTCTTTCTAGCATTCGGGAGACCTGGAATGTTACCTCTAGAATTCTCCTCTTTTTTAGGAGAAAAGTCCTTTGGTCAGTTCTACTTTCCATCTGTGAGTTTCAGCTCGACACAGAGCAGCTGTTCAGCTTTTCAGCTCTCCTTGGCTGACCTCCTTGCACACTACCTTGCTAAACCATGTCCTGGATTTGATTTTTTTAATATCCAGTTTGGGGCTTGGGATCACCCAGTTGGTATTTATTTTAATGTAGTTCCTCATCTGGAGTTTTCTTCCTACGTTTTCTGTACTACAGAAACAATTAAGGCCCTTCAAATCTGATCTCAGCACTTTTCTTTGCCTTTACATTTCTGCTCAGAGCCATAAAGGAGCGTTTTCTTGAAGGAGCACTGTTTGTTTGGGGGGTGTGTGGTTGTGGCAACGTCAAGGCCGCCATAAACAGACAAAAGTATGTCCTTGGGATGATTAGAGGCATTTGGGACATGCCCAGGGTGATGTGGGTCATTCTCTGACCGTGCCAATCCCTTGAAGATATTTGTTGCTTGCACAGTGTTTATCTGCATATCTATCCCCCTTCTTTCATGTGCTGCCTAAAAAGCATAAGCAGTTGCTTGTTGGAAGTGTTAATGATCGACTCAAGAAATGAAGTAAGGAAGTTTAAAAAAACCCCAAATTAAATACTTGAATATGTTTTGAGTTGGAAAGATTTAAAGTAATAAAAAGGAGCAAGGTTATAGCTTGAATTGCCACAAGAACCCTTTGTTACATGTCAAGTTTGATGTATTAGAAGCAGACAATTATGTGTCACTGTGACAGTGCTATTTATTTGTCTGTGCTGTGAAAGCAGAGTCCTTGTAGAGTTTGGGAACAGCTTATGGGGCTGGCTTCTTAGATAAACCCTAAGAGTTAGGGCAGCAAATCAACATCTAAAAATAAATCTGAGGAGGTGACATCTCAGACATGTGTTTCCAAACCCCTCCAGCCATTTTCAAAGTGTCCCACCCGATGCAATGGATTGAATTCTCAAGCCAGTTGCCTCCAACACAGCTGTTGGCTCCAGAGTGTATCCCCCTCCCTGGAAACTCAGCGAGCAGCAGAGCTTGGTCCTCAGCACACCTAAAAGCACCAGAGTAAATCCCTTTTAAGTCTCTGTTGCTGTTCAGTAGGATTTCTGTTAAGCCCTCAAGTAAAGTTAAGTCTGTGCTGTATTTTACTGTTCTTAAACCACAACAGAAAGAAAATCTGCTGTTGGTATTTTCCAGTAACACATTTGCTGTTATCAGCACCCGTAGTTTCCGCGTTGAAAATGGAATCAGGGGGATTTCCAGCTTCTTTTTGATAC